AAAATAGGAAAATATCCCTTATCTTTAAAAAAGAACCATTTCTATCGATGCTTGGAAAGAATGTGGTCTTGCAAATTTCAATACAAGTCAATCTATTACACAATTTCTAGATTAATACCTATACATTCTGAAAATTAATTACCCACTAGCTTTTGTATTTCCAAAAAGTTCTTAGATAGGTAACATAGCCAATGTGTTCTCACTTCTATATTGTCTTCCTGCCCATCAAACTCTGAAATCCCATGTGATCCTAAATCAGTGTTTCTCAATATTGGTAACTTTAAGATATCTGGACTTTAACTCCCAGAATTCCTCCAGCATGCTCCAGACATCTTAAAGTTGCCTTCATTTGGGGGGGGGGGTTCTCTCCTGATCAGTCATGTCTGACTCTAGGGGGCAGTACTCATCTCCATTTCCTAGTCAAGAGAACCAACATTGTCTGAAGACACTTCCGTGGTCATGTGGCTTGACCAATGATTATATGCCAAAGCACATGGACCGCTGTTACCTTCCTACCAAAGTGGTACCTATTTATCTTCTTGCACTTGCAAACTTTCAAATTGCTAGGTTGCCAGGAGCTCACCCCATCACACAGTGCTTGGGACTCAATCTTCCAATCTTCCAGTCAATAAACCCAGCATCTTATATACAGCTAGTCCATTGAGTCCCTTAACATTGGGAAATACTGTTATCACAGGAGAAGCCTACATCAAAGTCAGGGCCTCTTTTCAAGAAAAGCAGTGAGTCAGAAGATGGCTGCATTTTTCTCCTTCATAAAGTTGGAACTGCAGAATGAACACGCCCAAATAAAAATATTTGAACAACCTCTGAAATATATTTAATTTTTTATAAACGCACTTCTGATTGCACAATGGGGCTTCCCTTTGCTCTCTCTGTAGTCCCAGTCATATCTATTCTTGGGGATCCTCTAACTTTACGGTATAGGATAGAAAGAAAAAGGAGGCAGATTCCACTCAGGAGCCAGATGTCATTTTGCCACATGAATTACATCACTGGATATATAACCAGTTATGCACAATATATTTGGAGGCAAGCTGTGATAAAGTTGTAGCTCTTGTCTCCCAAGGTATATTTTCTACTCACTGCTTCCCAATGAGAAATCAGAGATGCTTGTGATAATCTGAAGAATTTCCTTAGCAGCTTCAGGCTAATGCAACCTAATTCTTTCTTAACAGCTCTTTTGCAATTCATCATTTTACTATACAGTAGTTGGCTGCTGCTTCCTGGTTTAGACACAGATGATTCCAGCCATTTAGTTTTTATGCAGTGATCACATTTTATTTGTAAACTGTCAGTGCTTTAGGTGATTCTAGTTTAAGAATCTCATCTACTTAATCTTTTTTTTTTCCCACTGGGGTATCAGGTGGCTTAAATGTTTCTTATTTTGAAAAGTGTATTTGTTTACTACCAGGCACATCTGTAGCATTTCAAATGCTGAGCTTAGTATGCACTGAGGTATTCTCTACCTATGAAGTGTGCTAAGGTGTAGCATTATAGTAATAATAAGAAAGGCAAAAAAAATCTGGATAGTGCACATGGCAGCACCTGTAGATAGAATAGCAGAGAAAAGAACTGGAGGAAATCACAAAATACAAAGACCTACAAAATCAAAGAGGAGGAGAAGAACAAGGTGAACAAGGTGAACAAGGTGAAGAAGAAGAAGAAGAAGAAGAAGAAGAAGAAGAAGAAGAAGAAGA